TAGAAATAACTATACCGCATGGCAAAAGTTATGGCTCCTGCACACAGGATGCAGTAAGGGCCGTGGCACATAGGAAAACTTAAGCAGGAAGACGTAAGCAGTAAGCAAATTGACACAAGTCCAAGAATCACAGTCGTTGATTCTTGGACCGTAAGAAGAATCAATGACTGTGATTGGTCAATTTGCTTACGGTTTACATTTTACTGCTTAAGTTTTTCTATGTGCTACCAGCTTAATGCTTGCCGCGTGGCGGAAGTTCGCGCGACAGCCAATCAATATGCTGCTTTCTGTAATAACCTTCTAGCTTTTACGGAAAAACAACATATTGATTGGCTGTAGCGCGGACTTCCGCCGCGCGGCAAGCATAACCGCGTTCTGTGTGCAGGAGCCATTAGATCAAGTTCAACTTTTTCCTCGCGGCAGAAGATGTATATATACTCTTTCCGGAAAAGCGACAGATTGATTGGCTACCGCGTCGCGTCTTGCCGCGCGGCAAGAGGTTTGTTCTTTCGACCTGACCTAGGGCTGCACTGAAACTGTACTAGTTGAAGAAAGTTCAAGATAGTGCAGACCAGTGCAAAGATACATATGGGTCTGAAAAGAACGGGTAAGAGCAAGTTAGAGCAGTGTAAGATAGCGGACAACATGGCTGGATTAAATAACATAGATCAATTTATAGTCATGTTTTCGCACTTATAGCATTTTATGTTTTGTTGAACAATCCTATTTCTTTTAAAAACTGTTTTGTGTTGGATATCCATACAACAAATCTCTCCGAAAAAACGTCCAAGAGCCTTCCCAGGATGTCTTTCGGATATTTTGTGCTGTTTGGATAACATTCTAAATACTTCTTTTATGTCATTCTACATTATATATTTATTATATATTTATCTACATTATATATTTATTATATATTTAAGTATTTACTTACTGTTTATAGATTCCGTCGTCGGATTATTTCTTCTACGTAATGTCAACTAGGTATACCGATTTTACAGGTTATAGATACAAATTTAAATTTTTTCGGTTAGCTGCCCTGCACTGCTTGCTCTACCTCCAGATCTAGGGCAGTCAGTTCACTGAACTCGCTGCACTAGTTCAGCCTGCACTGTTCGAAAGAACACATTTTCTTGCAATGTTCTGATCGAAAGAACGCATTAGTGCAAACTTCGTGAACTAGTGCAGCCAGTTCAGGTCGAAAGAACAAACTTACAATCAACCCCCTGGTGTCGTCGGATCGAAAGACGAAACTGCGCATGCGCAACTAGTTTGCTATTAGCAGCAGAATTCTTCCAACCATCGATTAACAGTACACCTAGTGTTTCATGTTCTTTCACAGCTGCAGATGTTATTTCACTGTGAACTTTATCTAGCAATTGATTTGAAAGCTTTTTTCTTGATGGAATTTGGTAATCTGGATTTAGGAGTTTTATAAACTCCTTAAACAAATTGGACTCAACAACATTAAAAGATATGTTGCAGCCAAAGAAAAATTTTGCCAAAGCTAAATTAATTAATTCATCTGAATTAAGATGAGAACGTTTCAACTCGTATTTGGCTTGTTTCATTTTATCCGCGCTCATTATAAAATCTAAAAGAATAGAAAGAAATTGTCAATATCTAACAATTTATTTGGATTTATGAGCTGTAATAGTTACTTACTTATATTATTTTTTCGTATATTATTCGTATATTTCATTCATATATTATTCGTATATTATTTTTGAAACACTTTATTTATATAACATAACTTATTCGATTATTTATTAGGTTAGAATTTCGCTTTTAACGACATAAGACGGAATAAGGCCAGATCTACAATAGGTGTAGTAAGCTTTAAGCCATAAGAAATTGATCACAGTCAATTTGACTGATAGCGAATTTGGTAGCTTGCACTAGTGCGCACTGAGTGCGCATTAAGGCTTGTTTACAGTACATTCTTATATTTAAGATCGTGTCTTAAATACATATTTAAAAACATTTTAACTAATAAAATGATTCGTACGGATGTTATACATATCATATTATGGTTAAAAATATTTGAGAATTTATTTGAGAATTATTTAAGACAATCTTTAAATATAATAACATACTATGAACAAGCCTTAGTGCGCACTCAGTGCACACTAGTGCAAGCAACCGAATTCGCTATTAGTCAAATATGAGAAGAATACTCGACTATGATTGGTCAATTTTTTACGGCTTAAAGCTTACTACATTTATTGTAAATCGGGACTTAGAATTTTGATATATATAATATACGTTTCATACGTTTCATACGTAAAAAACGTAAGAAACCATTCGCGGCGCCAAATTGCCCAACCCTGACTAGTGTGCAACGGACATTAGGTGTAAAAGTGTGAAAAGTACAAGCAACTCGAACAAACCTTATA